CAGTTTTGTTTGCGGGAGATACATTCACCAGAGGTTCCACAGAATCGCTGCACATTAAAAAGCACAGAAGCAGCGCAATTACGAGCAGCCCAGGAGACCACAAGGCCCATCAGCCCAGAGAGCAGCCCATCAGGAGACCACATCAGATGGCTGACCTTGTCGGCCTCCTCGGCGATGAACTTCTGGCGGGCGTTCTCTCGCCGCCGGATATGCCGGTACACGTGGAACTCGCCGCTGCCGGCGCCAGCGCTCGAGCCCATCACGTTGCGCACAAACTCGGGCGCCGCCGAGAAAGTGCGCGACTTGGACGCCTCTGGCAGATGCACTGGCCGGTCCTGGACATCAAGATCACCTAACAATTGTCCTAAGAGAATGTGTGACACCTAAGATATGCTAAACTATCCACCATGACATGATCCATTTGAATTAATGCATTTTATTTGCAGAGCCCACTCATGGAAAGCAAACATTTCTTGTCTGAGTTCATTCTGACACTGGTTATCTTCCATGTTTTGTGAGTTCCAAGGGATACATTACAGATGATGGTACCAATATCAAAATAATGCTAAGACATATAACACATGGCTTTCCCCCAAAAACATATAATTATTACAGGCCAAACCAGAGACTAATTGTGTTATATACTCACAATGTTCTTGAAAAGCTTGTCAAGCCTGAGTTTCTGTAAATCAACTGCATTTTTTACTGGCTTCTTCTCATCTGGCTTCTGATTTTCATTCATTGCTGCCCCTTCTGTTCAAAAGTAAACAAGAAACTTATTAGTCATTGGCATTGATATCCAACCATACCTTCCAGCCTACACTCATCAAGCGATTGTGTATTGCCAGTGTTGGAAAAAGTTTCCTGGTATAGTGCGTACCAGATTTTGTACTCCAGGATTGTGACTGGGTAAAATGAAATATTTTGTACTCATGATGCTATACTCATATCATACTTATAAACTTATACTCATATTGAGCGCTTCCGAGTGCTTCCTTCCTAATTCCATGCTCAAACCTACTGTATTTTTTTTAGCTATGAAGCTGGTAGAAAGTTGCTGATATTGATAACTCTATTGTAAATGTGTCAGTCCCAATAAAGGCTGATAGAAGCTGATGGTAAAAATGTTGTGCACCTGTTGCACCATTCCCTGGAGTACACAATGCCAAGCTTATGATTGAAATGTCATGCAAGCTACAACATAAATGGGAGCATCTGGGGCATGGCAGTAAGTGCAGCCACATTCCACCCAAGGTACAACCTATCTCACCCAGAGTAAAGCTTCTGGGGGAATGTGATCCCCACCTAGGCTTTTACTGACCTACAGATACTTAATTGGGGAACAAGTGCGTAGTTCCCAATTAAGTTAGATAAGATGCCCCCAACTTTAAGAAAAAAAACCTGGTCAAAATCATGGAGACGTGGCTTGCACCATTTGTTTGGGATATGACCTTTCTCTGCTCACCTACTCCACAAAGTGATGTGCAAAACTACACCACCTGGGACGTCGAGCTGCCGCGTGATCGAGGCTCGGAAGCCAACGCAGCAGAGGCAGAGGAATCATTTCCTCATCACAAAGTTAGCATCACTACATCTACATCACTCGGCGTTTAGTCTGATACAATACTTTTCTCAGTGTATCACACTGAGCTAAATTTATACATTGCCTTATCTACACCAACCACACGCGCAATCATTACTCCGTGCTTCGCTACGCCGAAACAAGGTTGGCAGGCTACATAAATGGCGCGCACGCATAGCGGTCTTCAACGACAAAGCTAAAAAATATTCGTTGATGAAACCCGCCCGGCCAAAACAAAAGGTAGATCTAAAAAAATGTGATTAACTGCATAAATACACCGGTACGAGTTCTGCTCAACGAAGGACAAGAAGCATTTTTCAAGTACTTCACCTCTTTTAGAAGAGAAAACTATCCACCGCGAGCGTTAAAAGCGCAGTACGAAACGGGCATAACCAGTTCGCGTTAGCAGAATTGCCCAATTTTGAAATCATATGACCCAAAATGATACCTTAACACCAAAATAGTAAGGCAATTAACATTATTCATTTCGTCGTTTAGACCATTGCTACTCACATTGCTCACATGATTGCAAGTCATCTTCAAGCAGTTACCATCTAACAATATTATAATTTCGGAAAAAGCAGTAATGTAACTTCTAACATGCCGACAGCAGACGATTTATATGTACTAAAAGGCAACATAATGACCAAATCACGAGTAACCAAAAGAAGTATCCCAGTTCTTCACAGTTGTGTCTCGAACTCTCTGTTGGTGTGCCTACCTGCGTACATACCATAACTTTGATAATTTTTTTTCTTCAAATATCTGATAACTTACGGTCCATCGCACGTAGACCCGAAAGACGCATACACTCTCCTTATTATTGCACTTCTTGTACTTACCAAATTATTTCCAGTTGTGAAGCTTGACTTGATATTTCCAAATAGATAACACAAAGAGCCAACAATGCCCGTTAAACTGAAACACTTACAGCAATCTTAGAAAAACGGATCAAGCCACAGGGACCGAACGCCGAAGCAAGGCCAATGTTTTCGGTATGGTATATATGTGCCTATTAGCGCAGTGCACCTCATACACGAGTCCGGATAATGCGATTTACACTTATTAGAACGAAACACATCGTGCTGACAATGTCGGTTGAGCTGCAAGACTTCGGTCCGATGAATAAGGCTCATGTTTTGCCGTGAGATGTTGCCATCATGTGCGGACGGACTGCAGTAGCACCCTCTAAAGTAGTGCACCTCTTGCATAATTTCAATTGGGGAGACCTGAAAACCTCTCTGATATGCAAAGACATACCCTACCGCGACAATATGCCGACAGAAACCCCAAGAAAAGAAGCCAAGCCCTGGAAACCGAAGACACGAGAGTACTATCTCGGTAGAGAATGTTCTTGGATGCCGGAGTCGTTTTCAGGTCTTGCCAACTGGAATATGTAAGAGGTGCACTACTTTAAGATGGTGCTACTACGGTCCATCCGCCCAACATGATGGCAACATCTCACGGCAAGGCATGAGTCTTGTTCATCGAACCGAAGTCTTGTAGCTCAACCGACATTGTGGGCACGCTGTGGTTACTTCTAGTAAGCGTGAATCGCACTATAAGGACTGGCGTTTCAAGTGCCCCGCGCCAATAAACGTATATGTACCGTACCGAAAACGTTGGCTTTGCTTCGGTCCTCGGTTTCCGGGGCTTGGCTTCTTTTCTTGCGGTTCCTGTCGGCATATTATCTCCGTAGAGTACGTCTTTAGATGTCAGAGTGGTTTTTAGGTCTCTCCAATTGGAATTATGCGAGAAGCGTACTTCTTTAAGACGGTGCTACTACAGTCCGTCCGCACATGTTGGCAACATCTCACGGCAACGCATGAGTTTTATTCATTAAATCGAAGTGTTGTAGCTCAGCTGACATTGTCGGCACGATGTGTTTATTTCTGGCAAGTGTGAATCGCATTATCCAAACTCGTGTATGAGGTGCACTGCGCCAATTAACGTATTTGTACCGCACTGAAAACGTGGGATTTACTTCGGTCTTTGGTTTCCGGGGCTTGGCTTGTTTCCTTGGCATTGTTATTGACATTTTATCTCGGTAGAGCATGTCTTTGGATGTCAGAACAGTTTTTAGGTCTCGCCAATCTGAATCATACAAGACGTGCACTACTTAAAAAGAGCGTTACTACAGTCCGTCCGCACAACATTATGGTGTTATCTCACGCCAATGCATGCGTCTTATTCATTGAACCAAAGTGTTGTAGCTCAACCGATATTGTCGGCACCCTGTGTTTATTTCTACTGAGTGTGAATCACATTATCTGGGCTTGTGTACGAGGTGCACCTGAAACCTCATGTGACCTGCAAACGGCTCTGGCACCCAAGAACATTCTCTACCAAGATAGTACTCTCGTGTATGAGGTGCACTGCGCTTATAAATGTGTACGGACCGTCCCGAAATTCCAATGAGCGAGACATGAAATCGCTCTGACATCCAGGAACATACTCTGCCGAGATAATATGCCAACGGCAATCCTAGGGAAGCGGACCAAGCCCCGGGAACCGAAGACCAAAGGAAAGCCAACGCTTTCGGTACGATACATATACGTCTATTAGCGCAGTGCACCTCATACACGAGTCCGGATAATGCGATTCACACTTATAAGAAATAAACATATCGTGCCGGGAATGTCGGTTGAGCTCCAACACTTCAGTTCAGTTGATATGATTCATGCCTTGCCGCGAGATGCTGCCATCATGCGCGGACGGCCTGTAGTACACTCCTAAAGTAGTACACATCTTGCATAATTCGCGTTGCCGAGACCTGAAAGTCACTCACATCCAACGACATACTCTACCGACATAATTTGCCAACAGCAGTCCTAGGAGAACGGGCCAAGCCCCTTAAACCGTAGATTGAACCAAGGCCCAATTTCACTGGAGGATATTTTCATGGTCAGTAATGCTGTACACCCTAAGCCTGAGTCTTGCTGATACCATTCCAACTTACTAGGGGCCAGCACGTCGTGCAATAATCTTTCGTGAAGCGATAAGTTTCACACATGAAACCGGATCATAAATTTATTTTCCATGTAGGACGTTTATTTTCGTTTAACGGGAGTGTTTCACATTCGTATGCAGTTTTGAACTGAAATAGCCAGCTTCGATATCAGTCGGTGCAGCTCACAGCCCTGCCCTTCTTAAGACCTAAGCCCTTCCAGCTTCTGATCTATTTCGGCTTCACCGCACACCTCCAGTCTCCGCATATCTTGATTGGCTGTGGCTGCTTGTGACGCGTGGCTGTAAGGAGTGGACCAAACTCCCAGGCGGTGTGGCCTAGGAAGTTCTCAGAGGCGGCGAGCGAGGGATGCTCAAGAGTGGCTGGGTACTCGCGGGCCTGCGTTGTGTCAGTGCATGATGTCGTTACACACACCAAGCGCAGTGTTTGATAAGTCATGTTTAATGATAGTTTCTGATGCTTTAGTCCTTTCTGTAAGTTATCTGTTAGCATATCATGTTAGTAATGGTAGTGTTGGTATTGACAACATCTCACGGCAATGCATGAGTCAAATTAATTGAACTGAAGTGTTGTAACTTAACCGACATTGTCTGCACGCTGTGTTTCTTGCTAATAAATGTAAATCGCATTATCCGGACTCGTGTGTGATGTGCACAGCGTTAGCAGACACACACACACACACACACACACACACACACACACACACACACACACACACACACACACACACACACACACACACACACACACACACACACACACACACACACACACACACACACACACACACACACACACACACACACATATATATATATATATATATATATATATATACATTTATATACCGTACCGAATGCGTTGGCTTTCCTTTGGTCTTCGGTTCCCGGGCTTAGTCCGCTTCCTTATATATATATATATATATATATATATATATATATATATATATATATATGTATATATACCGTACCGAATGCGTTGGCTTTCCTTTGGTCTTCGGTTCCCGGGCTTAGTCCGCTTCCTTAGAGTTGCTGTTGGCATATTATCTCGGTAGAGTATGTTTCTGGATGCCAGAGCGATTTCATGCCTCGCTCATTGGAATTTCGGTACGCTACAAACAAGTTCATAAGCGCAGTGCACCTCATACACGAGAGTACTATCTCGGTACAAAATGTCCTTGGGTGCCAGAGCCGTTTTCAGATCACATGAGGTTTTAGGTGCACCTCATGCATATTCCCAGATAATGTGATTCACACTCAGTAGAAATAAACACAGCGTGTCGACAATATCGGTTGAGCTACAACACTGCCGTTCAATGAATAAGACGCATGTATTGCCGTGAGACAATACCATAATGTCGTGCGGACAGACTGTAGCAGCACCCTCTTTAAGTAGTGCACCTCTTGCATAATTCAAATTGGCGAGACCTAAAAGCACTGACATCCAATTACATGCTCTACCAAGATATTATGCCAACAGCAATGCCAAGGAAATAAGCCAAGCCCGGAAACCGAAGACCGAAGTAATCCCACGTTTTCAGAACGGTATATATGCTTTAATTGGCGCAGTGCACCTCACACACGGGTCCGGATAATGCAATTCACACTTGCTAGAAATAAACAGGTTGTGCCGATATTGTCGGTTGAACTTCAACACTTCGGATCAATGTATAAGACTCATGCATTGCCATGGGATTTTGTTATCGTGTGCGGACGGACTGGAGTAGCACCTTCTTAAAGAAAAACACCTCTTGTATAATTCTAATTGGGGAGACCTAAAAACTGCTCTGACATCCAAAGGCGTACTCTACCGAGATAATATGCGACGGGAACCCCCAAAAAAGAACCAAGCCCCGGAAACCGAGGACCGAAGCAAAGCCAACGTCTTCGGTACGGCACACACACGTTCATTGGCACGGGGCACTTGAAACGCCAGTCCTTATAGTGCGATTCACGCTTACTAGAAGTAAACACATCGTGTCGACAATGTCGTTTGAGCTTCAAAACTTCGGTTAAGTGAAC